GTTAATTACGAGGAGAAAAATGGTTATCCAACGCTGTTTTTCATTCGATAAATCAACGGAAAGCTTTACATTTGATGCTGTTCAAATACCATCTTTTCGTCGATTACGCATCGATTCACCTGTTTACTTTTAATACAATATTCCCGGGACACGGAGCTGGACGTAAATAAATCCGTCGATTCGCCGTATGAACGTCGCGTGCGAGCAATAAATGAAATCCGCTCGAACTACCGTTCCGGGTATGATCGGCACCACCCTCGCATAAACGCAACAATGAGGCATCTGGAACGGTAATCGACCTAGGCCAACTCTCGTTTAGGAAGACAATTTCAACGGTGAACAGATTACGATAGATCAGAGCAACGACCACGCTGCCGTGTCGTGTCGTGTCGCTAACGGACAACGAGTTGTATCGAACGCGTCTGTATGCTCGTGTGTGGACGTGGATGTGCGGCGCCGTCGCGACGGCCGGTTTTCCACTTCGAAAAGCTCAGAAGCCAGTATAGAAGGGAGGGCAGGAAACATCGTAGCCAGGTTCTTTAACCTTTGCAAGAGAAACCTTTATTGGAAGCAAATTGCGAACTGCCATGATCTTGGCTCGTACGGATGAAACTTATCGATCACCGGAAAAGAGACTCGCTTGAAATTGAAGTCGACTTTTCGTTCAAGAAAAGTTAGAAATGAGACTTTTATTGGTTTTTTTCTATGTTTCAGATGGAGTAGCAGAACGAAGCGTGAGAAATTTTTCTTTCTCGACTCATGAGGTATAAAGATCCGAAGTGTTTAGCAGGATCTGGGACAGGATGGTATAAATCAGGGTGATAGGGAAGTGCGCCACTACGATTCTGACCAGAAACGAGGAAAACCGGACGACAAAACGGCAGTTCACGCCGGGACCGAGCCATTCAATTAACTTTATCTCTCGCCCTTTCGAACGATCACCGCATCCACGTATATCAGTTTCCTGCTAGAATCTTGCAACCCGACCACGTACCTATCCCCCTCCTGTCAGACATATCTGTACTGTCAAGAACATGTTCCTTCGATGTACGAAAAGAAATCTAATTTTCGTGAACGAGAACCGCGGGAAACGCGTGGTTTGCGTACCTGACGATTTCCGTACGAGAAGAAAGGTAGAAGAATTTACAAATTAATTATTATACCGTGAGAATGAGAAACGAGATTTGTAAAAATATTTCACGTTTGGAATATTTAAAATTTTTACGAAATACATATACATTCGATAAGATCCGATGTTTTTTCCTTTCGTTTACAACCCCTAGCGTGTTTCGGTGAAAATGGTTACGTATCTTATCTATCCCCTGTACGATACAGCCGACTTCCTTCCTTTCCGTTTCATCGGTCCATTTCACCGTTCGTAAGTTCATTTTTCCGTGATATCGTCTTGGTCGTGCGTAAAATGGCCATTCGGCCTCCGCTCGAATTTCGAGCTTGTCCATAAAGTCACTTTGAAGCACGAACACGGCAGACCAGTCATTGGGGATAAGGGAAATTCGCTCCGACACGTGACCCACTTTTCATTTTAGAAATATCTACGATCTTCAACTGGATTTCTTTTCAACGATAGCGATCAGTATGGTTGAACAAAGGAACACGAGCGATTACAATTTCGCCGAGATAATTTTATCAGAAATAGTTCTGCCTTTAACGTTAGCCCATTTTTACAACGTCAACCCCTTTTGGAATATTAAATAATTTTATCAAACGTCAAACCAGAACCCTTTATTAATGAACTTCATCGGCAAAAAAGGAGAGGAATTCCACAAATGAGTTTGCGGGAAAAAAGAACAGATTCCAGCTATTGTTCGATGGTAGAGTTGTGAAGGAAAAGATAGAAGGAAAGTTTCTTTAGGCAGGTCGAAGAAGCCGAGGAGAGTCGGACAGGGAGGCAGTCTGCCGTGAAGGCGATTCCGGCTCTTCTTAAAACTCACCCTTCGCCCTCATACTTTTCCCTTTCGTTTCTCGGGGCTCACCCTTCGCTTCTCCTCTCAGTTAGGTTAATGGAACGCATTGCCGCAAACGGCAGGAAAGTTAAGGCCGTTTCCGATTGCAAATGGACCGAAGGCAAATCACACTGGCGACGGTTCGTCGAGTTCGTCGCCGGGACCCAGGATACAGGTAGCGAAAGGATCTATCCAGTGAAATTTCCTGGATCCCGGTTTAGATCTTAACGACCGTTCAATTTTTATTTCCACGGTTGCATAGTTCAACGGAGGGTTGGAAAACGTTTAGTTGGTTTAAGAATCCTGTTTCTTGAAAAGTCTACTGAGGGGAAGAGGATGTTAAGGACACTGTCTTTAACTGCATTCCTTGTGCGTTCTATTCTCAACCTGTTGCCTTTGTTCAAAATGAAATCTTTGTTTTTGAAATACTTGGAATGGTGATTAAAAATACTAGGAGAAATGATTTTTATTTTAAACGGTAGGTAAACTGAAGATTAATATTCAAGTGAATTTTAAAAGAAAAAGGAGGCAAAATTGCTTTCAATCGTCCAGTTTTCAATTAAGCACGACACATTTTGGGGGAAAAGAAATCGTTTTCAACTTTAATAAGGGAGAAAGCGAAGATCAAGGAAAAATATTCGTCTTGAGAAGTCAGAGAAATTCGTCGCTGCTCGAAATGAAAGCAACGGAGAAGTCAAACAGAAACGCAACATGGTATTTATCTCCAAGTAAAATATTGAGAGATTCGAGAAAATGCGGAAAGCGTACGGTAGGTGAAAAGCAAGAGGGCGAAACTTTCCTGTCACCCTGCTACGAAATGCTGCTACTTGCTGTTGCTTGTTTATTCGCTTGTTTTGCGTTCCACAACCGATAGCGAAGAATGCGTTTCAAGAATGCGAAGTGCATCTAGCATTTCGCGAACGTCGTGAAAACGGAATCCCTTTGCGATTCATTTCTTCCATTCTTGATTTTTCAAGCGTGCATACCTCTGTCGCGCCTTTCTTTCGTTTCCTTGAAATTCGGGATTATTTCACATTTTCCATGGAAAACGTAACATCAGAAATACAGTGAATTTCAAATTGCAAATATTCCATAAATTCCACGATTCCTTATTTTCAACATTCTACGAGGTCCCACAAAATTAAATTGAAATAGCGAAATATTCGACGAAAATTACAGCTATTGCAATTTTATTAAAAGGGAAAGTTAGTAACGAAAACGAATTTTCCACAGGGAACGGTGCTCATAATTGGCAATATCGTTGCATTAGCATTTCGCCAAGAATTCACGCAGAACAATATCGGTAGCTCCTTAAGGGCTTTACTCTTTGGTCTGCCTTGGTTTTCAATTCACTTTCACGAACCATTAATTCGCGACGAATGCGCTGTTTGTTTTTTATAAAATCCACAGAAGAGTCGAATTTTCATTCTGCCCAAGGACTTCGTTATATTTTAATAAATAAAAACCCCTGTTTTTAATGAAATTCATCAACGCAATCGTCTTCAGAACAATGAAGAGCGAAGTAGAAGGAAGTTCTGATGTCTGCGAAGTTCACGAAGTCAGAGCAATTCATATTCAAGGCTTGCACGATTGTTCGAGTTGTTGATTGTTTAACACTGACGCTTATTAATAGCTACGGCAGCATTAGCATTAATAACGCAGCCAGTGTTTCGAAATAATGATACCGTAAAGCGATACACACAATGACTCTCATATTTGTTCACGAGAAACTAATGTTTACCCGTGTGAAATAATTATACTTAGTGATTTAATCATACACGATATTATCACTGTATATATTAATATAGTGAATTGAATATTTACATTTTGACTTCCCATAATTATTTGTTTTAGAATTTAAAAGGACGATTATTTATTTGCTTTAGAATTGAAAAAGTGAACGAATGTGCGAGTCATTATATGAGAATTAAAAATTTTATACATTTTGACAGCATGTGTATAATGACAGAACAAAAGACATGGAATTATAATTGAATAACCCTTCCATCTGATCTGACCCCTTCTGATCTCCACCCCAAGCAATTTTATCTCGCGAACCCTGTATTCGTTACAAATAATAGGCTATTTCCTCGACGACCACTTAGAATACGGTTCGCATGTTGTTCGAGTGGCGTTAAAATAACTTACACGCCTTAAGGCTTTCCAGCAACCCCTTTTTTTTAATACGACCAAAACTGAACGTCATACGATACAGAATAACATTCGAAAATTAAAAACAACAGTTAGTACAACGTATGGAAAAGAGAAAATATTGTGATAGAGAAAATAGACTGACGCTACCGAACGAGGAAGGTACTTTTAACTATCTTTTTTAAAGCGTCCTCAAAAAGCTTAAAACGTAAACTCGCTTGAAAAGTAGCTCGGTATAACTTAGGTGATATTTAAGCGTCGTCGAAAATTGTTCGAAAGTCTACCCAGAGCTTCTTCGCGAGATAGATAAAAATTCAAATAACTTCAATGAAATTCCTCAAAAGTTTCAGGGAACTTTTACAAGACTTCTTTGACGTTCTTCTCTCTACCGTTCTTCATAGCAGCTAAAAGAAGTTTGCGACGAATTGGACAGAATAATCCGAAAGAGAATACGTATTACTTCTGTTTCTATAGTGTTCTACTGCAGTAAATAGATTCATTATTCCGTTTTTATAAGAAACTATATAAATCGTATGAGATTATAACGGTGTCATATTTTCTGTTTTTTTTCATACTTTAGCCACGCTTGTTTTTGTCACGATACTTTATAAGCTTGTAAAGGGAGGGTGCTGGAAAAGGGCCTAGCGTGTCAGAAACAGAAGAATACAGGCCGGTTGTATATTACTTTTCTTCCGCTGTCGCGATTTCCACCGCAATTGCGAATTAAAATCTAGTAAGCTGGATCGTCTGGGATAAACGGCCACAAAAATTTATGTGTGTTTATGAAGCAGGGGGAATTTGATCCATTGCGCACTTTTGTTTAATAGCTAACGCATTAATTGTAACGAAGTAGACGGCTTGAAAATATGCTTTCATTCGACTTACCTTGTTGATCTGTCGTTGTAGCTTCGTGATCGTCGCTCGATCCCGCTGGGCAGCGAAGCGTTCCGCTTGCAACGCCTGCTCCAATTCTTGCACTCTTTCCTCCAAGCTCTCCTGCAACAATCAATAATATTTTATGAAATACTGTTCCAACAAATCCTTCAGTGTCACAAGCAATTAATAATAATATCATATTATATTACAATATGTTAATTAATAATAATAAATTCAATGAATAACAATATCATATTATATTAGAATATATCAATTAATAATAATAAATTCAATGAATAACAATATCATATTATATTACAATATATCAATTAATAATAATAAATTCAATGAATAGCAATATCATATTATAATATGAAACAATGTTATCATTAATAATAATAGTTATTAATTGATCATTAACTAGTAATAATTAATTAATTATCAATATTGTTTGGAAATACGAATAATGCTTACAATTAAATACGAGATCATCCATACCACTCGGTGGCTCGAGCGAAACTGTGCCTCTCGGCGAATGTAAACCGAGAGCGAACTCGAGATGTATACAAAACTTCGAACTAGGCTCCGACATAATACCTGTTCCATTCGGCCGACAAGTAAACAATGGATAAGAGATCAAAACAGGTACGCGTGATATTTCTCGGTTTTGGAAACCGAAATCGCCATCCACGTCATCGTAATCTCTAAGTACACGTGAAGCGCGATCTCAGCGGAAACTTTAAGCCTCCGTTAAGGCAGCTTAAAACTCGAGCAACAGGAATTACCGGGAGTATACCGTTGAAAGTTACAGCGAAAGTTCTTGGTTGCGTTTGCGTTTGCGGCCGAGAAAGTTAATTGAGAAACGGTCGACCTTAAGCTTTCGATCTATGCGCGATTCCGAATCGAATCGCTGGACCAACTGTTCCCTTAAGATAACATCATCGTGGAACTTGGAAACCTTGGCTTATATCGAGATTACCAACGAACCAATGGTTTTTGAGCTTCCATTCGGTGTACAGGAAAACTTGGATGAGACACGGATCATTTGTTTGCAACGAATTTATAATTAGAGAGTCTACCGTATCTTCGAATCTTAATTAAAATTGGTAGTTTATTTTTTATTTGTGAACGAGACCCAAGTGTACCGGCTGCAATTCTGAATAGCGAAAGTTCATTCTAAGAAGTTGGAAGAAAGTCACGTTTCTCTGTCCTCGGAGTCTCAAAGAGAAAAATCCCTTTTCACTTTCCACTTGGCAACCGTTGGGTCGCACAATAATTTCCCACCCACACCCGACGGACTAATTTACGTCTTCGCCAGAACGTTTCTGCTTATCAAAAGCGCTCATTGAAGCAATCCAAGCGGAATGGTAATGAGCGGCGTTGGTCTCCAAGGGCTGTTGGTCGCGATTTGACCATAAGTATCGGTGCAATCCATTAGATTCGAGGCGACGCCGACGGTTTCAGGGGTCCTCGAGTCAGCCAACGGCGTTTCCACATCGCGCGGGGGAGATGATTCGTATGCGGGGGCACGTAGCTGCAATTCACCCTTTCTAAACCCTCGCCGAGTCCACGTTTTAGTACTCCAAGCCGATCCACGAGTACGGCTGGCTATTGTTTGTCGCGAACCAACGAAATTGTACCGGGTGTACCGTGTGTCCCGACCTTTTATACGACAGGTGTGCAGAATTTCGCCATATTAATATTTAGAGGGTTGTGCAATTTTTCTAAACCTACATTTGATGAAATTTTCAAATATAATTATATTTTTTACCCAAAGCCTGGAAAAATAGCAAGAGGCTATTTTTATTTTTTGTAAAATTAATCTTCGATTCGAGGAATTAAAATAAAATTGTAGGTGTTGATAGTAGGAGCGTGAAAAATTGTCTTGGAATAAATTTGTAACACACCCCGTATAAAGGAGCGAGGGTGGATTTCCTTGCCGACTCCTGTATACTTGTAAATCTGTATTAAAGGGTTCCCAGAATGACCATGCTTGACATTATCGGGAAAGTATTGGTTTCCCGTGGATTAATGGCGCATACTGTGTCGTGAATAATTATGAGGCTGCCAGGCCAGAATAAACAAGAAAGGATTTAGAGCTCGGCTTTTCTAGCTATAATTCTTACACGACATTTGTATGCCTCCTTCCTTTTTCTTTTTTCCATGAATATACATTTCAGTGTACCACATGAATAGTAATAGACCAGACATTTTCTAATAAATCATTTGTTAGAACACCTAATTTGTAGTTGATGTTTAAAAAAAAATGTGAAGATGTTTGTCAGCTTTCAACTCGCGTGTCCAGCAAGTCAAAACCGTGCAATTATTACAAGCTGCCCCTGTCCAACTAGCCCTTGTCTTGTGCACCCTTAGGGATGGACGAAGGGGTGCTATGCACAGGGATTCATTGGAAGACCCATAGAATTAGTACGGGGACTTCCGGGACGTCATTTAAAGTACAGAACCGCCGTGATAAGCCCACTCTATATGCAGAGATTCCGTTAAATTGCAAACGCCCATTTTCCAGCGAAGGGAGGTGAACGAGAGAACAAGGGTAAGGTCCCGTCCGCGTCGCCCTCGAGTAATCAGACGGTTAACTCGATCCCAGGAACGTTTACGGGACGACAGCTCGAGCCGATTTTCTTATGCCCCGGAGAAAAGCTCGCGTCTCTACGATCCTCTTCATCTATCTCCTCCATTCTGTCCGTTTCTCTTCAACGATCCTCTTCTCCTTAGGGAATGTTAATTTCACCGAGAATGAATTTATTCGATTTACCGGGAAAAGATTAAATCTTCCTTAAAGGCCCATTAACGATGCTACGTGATCGATCGATCGATTTATCGATTGGAAAGGAAGTAACTTAAACAGGTAGAGATACTCATCTCTTAAGCCTTTCATCGTTTGGAAAAGTAGGTTTCTAAAAGCATAGATTCTGAACGTAAAAGGGTTGGAAATATAAAGTAATTATACGTTCGGAAAATGACGCCTTGATGATGGTCTGAAGCAATTCGTACGATCGATCACTCCTCTCTCCTTATGTAACGTTAAGTAAATTTCATAAGAGAAACGTTCTCTATTTCGAGCTAGGCGAGAATGAACTATTCACACGGTCGTGTTTAGGCAGGACCTTGATTTAAGGGTGTTTCGTGTCTCGTGTTGAAACCCGTCAAGCCGAGCAGCTGCCAGTTGAAATTACGATCGTTTCGCGTACACGAGGTGCACGCGAGTGGCAAAAGCGACCAATGTATTTCTCTAAAACGCGTCTCGGCCTCGGGAAATTTGCGCCGACAGCGTAGCTCCTTTGTCGTCGTCTGATGCTGGCATACGGTTCAATTTGAACGTCAAGGAACGCATGAAACTGCTCTCTAAACAATGACACCGAGGTTTCCATTCTGCCTTCCATGCTTCCCTTCCTTTCTCTCTCTCTTTCTCTTTGAAATAACATTTTACGTAACATTCATTTCCTTAATAACACCTTAACTGTATATCTTCTTACTGCAGCTTTCTTTCTTAAATGTAATTTCTTAAATTTGATAACACGTAACTATACAATCTTTAAAGAATTATTTAAAAAATTTGTAAAATTACACCTTTAGTAGCGCCGTGAAATTTTTCTAATTTCGCAGATATTAAATTTTTAATTTTGAACCTGTTGAAGAGTCGAGACGAATCAAAGAGGAAAAAAAAATTCGCGTCAAGAGATTTAATAAACTTTCAACGAGAAACACGATCACTTTGCGTATACGAGAGATCGCGGTCAAAGCAAGGGGTGTCCTCTGCAGCGTGCCAGCCACTTACGCCAAAGAGATTTCACCCCAAAAGACTACAACGTCTCTTTGGTGTCGAAATACGTGTGAAGCGTTCGCGTCTCTAAATACTACCGCCTCAGGTTAACGTCTCCTCTTCTCTCTTACTTGTACATCTCCTTCTCCATTGCTCAACCACTCATCTTCCTTCAAAACTGGCTACCCATAAATCTTGATGAATTTCGAGGATTTACGGATCATTTATACATGCTGTTGCTCCGAAACGCCCGGAAGATTAACTGAACCCGCGATGCGGTATGCTAAGATGAAACGGGCTGAGTAGTTTCGCGTTTGGTCAGATTCAAATTACCTTCTGTAATTCTGTTGTGACATCGCGTATCTCAGATTTCTTTGATTGATCTGCATAATACATTATACACGTTGAAAGTTATATATTCGTGTCGCGAACTGCTCGTTAGTGACGTTGATGATTAATAATACGCGAGGTTTGAATGAATTGAAATTTTCAAAAGGGTTTATCAATAATTTTGCATTGATTAAATATTTTAAATGATGTAAATAAAATTTTTTAATAGAATTGAAGTCGAGCGTAATCATGTGCGTGGCTATGAAAAGTTGTGAATGACAGCATTCATCGACGACTTATTAATTAACATCGTTTACAGTTGGTATGAAGCTATGAAATCACGCGTCGGCGACACGTGTTTTTAATTTCCGCGTGGAAACGCTGCTGCCTTTAAAGGCGAACCCTAAAATGAGGAAAGCTTCAGAGGAGTCTGAAGCTTGTTCCACCCACGCAGGTAGAGCTAATGAAAATCGAACGATCAAAACCGGGAATGGCAGTTCTCGTTCCAGGGAACTCCCTTTGAGCTACGCACAAAGCGTCAGAAATCGACAAAAAATCACGTGAAACTAGGGGTGGCTGTTGCTTGGTTAAGAGTTACGTTCACGCACATCATTAGGGTAAAAACTACCCCCTTGTTCTGTTCTAATACGATTTAAAATAATTTAATAAATTAAGTCAAGTCGAAACATGAAATAAAAGTTCGAGTTTGTTGATAATTTTTAAATATTGTACAAAAAAATGACACAACTGCGCATTATTTATATACTAATTATGATTATTTTAAGTAACTTTTTTATCCTTGTTTTGTACCTAATGAATTGTAAAAATTATCAAGGTAGAAAAAAACTATCCTTAGCAAATACTTAATAAAATAACAAAATTTATGCAACTTAAACTAAATCACAGTGGTTACGTTTTAAAAAATTTACAAATTACTGAAGGTATCATCTGTACAGAATTAAACTCCGGTAAATTAAGTTTCAAATAAAAGTCCTGATCAGCAGTA